TGCAATTTGATTAATACAATTTGATATGGATGGAATGATTAATAGATGATTAATGATTAATACAATTTGATATGGATGGAACTAATTAATAGATAAAATATGCTTTAATTTCAAATGGGGAAGAATTGATACCAATATAAATAATTTTATTAAATGATAAATAAAAGGAACAGTATATGTAAAAAGTAATTATGTATCTAAATGATGTTAATGGAATTCCCTCCATTGAAAATATTTTTTCAATCAAAACACGTCAACTTTGAAATAATTCTGATTAGGCACCTGGGTGGCTCAGTCGGTTAACTGTCTGGGTCTTAATCTCAAGCTCAGGTCTCCATCTCAGGGGTGTGAGTTCAAGCCCCATGTTGGGCTCCACACTCGGCATGGAGTCTAGTTAAAAAATATTTTTTAGCTCTGAAATAATTCTGATTAAATGTTTATATTTAAAACATCAGAGTAAAAGTGAATTAGAATCGGATGTTCTTCAATTAACTCATACAAAAGTTTGAGTGGTAGAAAATATCTCTGAAGATTTCTAAATTTCTATAGAAAATTAGAGCCTTACTAAAACTGAAAATAGGTATCTCTTCTTCATACTGCTAACATTCCTGGGCAGTTTTGTCTCATGGACACCCACATGCATTTTTCCTATCTGTGCTACCAAAGATCTTCAAATTTCCTTAATATAGATATTAGAGAAATCTTGGGCTTTACTTCATGATTTCGTCACTGAGGCTAGTTCTTTTTTAGCTGATATAGCTTTCATTTTAAATATCAGGATCATGGTGCTTTTCCCAAAGGTTGCTCTATTACAATAGAAGCCTCATTCTAATTATCTGTGGAGGGAGATGTAATCTCACCCAAAATATTAAGAATTACAAGAAGCCAGGCTTCAAAGTCTCCTTTCATTGACACATCCTTAGAATATTTTAACTTCATTTACTCACTTCCCACTTTAGTGTTATTTTTATCATATACTGTATTTCTTCATGTATTTTAAATGACATATACTGTTATTGTTGTTTTGTAAAATCAATATACACTTACATTTACCCATTTCCTTGCATTTCCATGTTTTCATATGAGATTACTTTCTTTCTTCCTGAAGAACCATATTTCACCGTCATTTTTGAAAAAAAAAAACCAAAAAAACCCTGTTTTACTGGGTCTGGAATTCTATATTGGCAGTGATTTGCCCACGCCCAACCCTGCCACTTTGGCATTTAAAAGACACCATTTGATTGTCTTATATCTCTTACTGCTTGGTGGCTGTTAAAATTTTCTCTTTGTTTTTGGTTTTCAGCAGTTTTACTTTGATAGGCCTAGATTGGATTTTCATTACATTTATTTTGCTTGGTTTTCACAGAACATCTTTAGTCTATAGATTTATGTGAATCTGTTTGAAAATTCTCAGCTGTTGTTTCTCCCTTACTCTCTCTTCTCTTTTTTGGGGAAAATGGGGAACCATGTATTAATTTACTATTGCTACCTGACAAATTACACAGGCTTAGTGTCTTTAAATAATTCTATTTATTTCACAGTTCTAAGGTCATATGTCCAGATGCCATGATTGGGTCCTCTGTTGAGTGTAACAGGCTGAAATTAGGGTATTGGCTGGGCTGTGCTCCTTTCTGGAGGCTCTGGGGAAGAATCTGCTTCCAAGTTCATTCAGGTTATTGGCCATTCAGTTGCTTGGGATGTAAAAAATGAGGTCTTTGTTTCCTTGCTAGCTGTCAACTGAGGACCAATTTTAGCTCTTAGAGGCTACCCACATTCTTTACTGCATGATTCTCTTTGTCTTCAAGGCTAGCAACAGATGATCATTCTTATGTCACATGCTTTGAATCTCTAATTTCAGAAAAATCCCAGTACTTTTTAAGGCTCACCTAGTTAGATGAGGTTTATCCTCTCTCTTTTACAGTCATCTATATCACATAATATAATTTAGTAAGGAGAGGAAATTTCATCAATTCATAGTCCTCAGAATCATGCAGGCTTATGCAATAGGGGGTGGGAATCTTAGGTGGCATCTTAGAATTCTGCCCCACACCCACTACAAATAGGCCTTTTCGCTGTGTTTAGTCACCATGTTTTTCAGTTCTAACATTTATGTTTTTGTAGGATCCAAACTCCTGGTGAAATTCCACATAATTTAAAATATTTTATCCATTTCCCCCTCTATTTCCTGGAAATTATTAATCATCACTATTTTAAAGTTCTTGCTATTAGGTGAATTATGTCGATCATCCATGAGTCTTACTTGTATTTGTTTTTTTCTTAATTATAAGCCAATTATTTTATCTCCCAATAAAATTTTACAATTGTCTATTTCTCTCTTTGTTTCAGCTTCATGTATGTTTAGACTGTTATGTGTATATACATTGATAATTGTTACATCTTATTACTGAGTTCTTTTCATCTTTATGAAGTGTCTTTTTCCATCTCTGGTAATTGTTTTTGTCTTAATATCTACGTTTTATTTTTAAATTATTTTAATTTTTTAAACATTTTTATTTATTTATTCACAAGAGACGGAGAGACAGGGGCAGCAGGAGAAGTAGGCTCCCCATGGAGCGCCCCATGGATTCCCCAATGTGGGACTCAATCTCAGGACCCTGGGATCATGACCTGAGCCGAAGGCAGATACCTATCTGGCTCAGCCACCCAGGTGCCCATTAAATAGTCACTTTAGCTTTCTCTTGCTGACAAATTCCATGTGTATCTTATTTCTATCATTTTATGTTCCAACTATTTGTGTCTACATTTAAAGTGTTTCTTATAGCCAGCATGTAATATGGTTTTGCTTTTTCTTCAATGTTGCTAATCTCTCTTTATTTTTTAAAGATTTACTTATTTATTTGAGAGAGAGAGAGAGTGTGTGCAAGTGGGGAGAGGGGCAGAGAGGGAGGGAGAGAATCTCAGACTCCCCGCTGAGTAAGGAGCCTACCTTGGGTCTGATCTCACAACCCTGAGATGATGACCTGAGCTGAAATCAAGAGTTGGATGCTTTACCAACTGAGCCACCCAGGTGCCCACTGCTAATCTTTTTTAATTGGAGTTTTTGACTACTGAAATTTTTTGTAATTATTGATATAGTGGATTTAGATCCAACTTCTTCTTCTTTTTTTATTTGAATTGAATATATTTTACTATTTCATTTTAATGTAACTTTTGGCATTTTGGTTATATTACTTTCAATATTACTCCACAATCCTTCAACCCTTCCAGGGCCTAATATCTTGATTCTACCATTTACTCACTAAGCCTTCTTCATATTTTCATTTTCCCCTTTGTCAGCCCAGGTTCTATTGTCTGCAACCATTTATTATGCATTTATCTTTTGTCTAATCTCCAGGTCTACTTTTCACTGTTCTCTACATTCCTCATTGTTCAAGGAGACTGAACTATAGGATGAGAGCTTCCTTGGCTTCTGACTGGGTTAAGATAATAAAAAGGCCTAGTAGAAAATCAGCTCAGGTCATGATCTCAGGGTTGTGAGATCAGACCTATGTCAGGCTCCTCACTCAGCAGGGAGTCTGAGATTCTCTCCCTCCCTCTCTGCCCTTCCCCTTACTTGCACAACCCAAGGCTTTTCAATTTCTGAGGTGGTTTTTTTTTTTTTTTCCCCTGACTGGCATATACTTTTTTCAGGTAACCACATGATTCACTTCCTTACCTTCTTCAAATCTCTGCTCAAATATCACTGTATCACCAAGGCATTCCCTAATCATGCTAAATTCACTTCTATAATCCCTATATTTTTTTCCTTGCTTTATTTTTTTCTCCAAAGTATATGTCACCATGTGTTTCATTATAAAGTGGTTTTTTTTTTTTTTTTAATTACCTGTCTCATCCAAGTTATCTACATGATGGCAGGGAGTTCTATTGTATTGCTTACTGTGTTTTCCCAGCACCTAGAATGATGTTTGACACATGGGCACTAAAAAGAATATGGTGGAATGAATTAATTGCAATTTGAATATTTGGATATTTCCATTTGTTATTTAACATATCTAGTAATCACATAACAACTGCCCCAAAGAAGCCAACATGATTTTGGATCATGATTTTATGAATCACTCAAATTCAAGTCATCTTTGTTTCCTCTTATTCTTTAACTAGTAACCTAGTTCCATATTTCTGGTGAATTTATTATTTTTTTAAAGTTAGAATATTTTCAGTAGATTAATAAGTTTATAACTAGTCTCTGTATCACCAAACTTTGTTAATTCTTCTTAGAAAATATCACCTATTCATCTTCTTTGATTTATCAACCCTACAACAACAACCCCAAATTTTCATTCAGGGCTACATTGTGACTTTAATTGACTCTAGACTCTTTTGCTTTTGTAAGCCCCTTCCCTCACTTAAAAAAAAAATAGTGTAAAACTTCATTGGTATGAAGACAAGCATGATCCCAGCTGGATTCATTATTATTTATTCATTATTATTATGTTCAGTTTTCCTTTAATTTTAGGAGGCACTATAACTAAAACATTTAAAGGGGCTCTTAAAGTATTGTGGACCTTAGGCATTGTGCCTACTTTGCCTAGTAGGTAACAGCCCTCATCATTACATACAAAAGTCTTATCTTTTTCTCATGGTTCCAAAACCTTCTACAGTTGGGTAACTGTCCATTTTTCAAGTCCCAGCTAAAAATCCACTTTATTCATTGTCTTAATTGTCCTCAATTTATACAGCTCTCCAACAATTATTTGTGCAATTGAAAGTAAATATCTTTGGTGAAATTTTTTAAATTAATAGAATTTATCCAAAGTAACTCTAGTTACACACACACACGCACACATTTTGTTACATAAAATACCTACGGCTTATCATTAATATTTCATTTCTAAATAATGAATGACAGAGTTAATGTAAGAATATTGACTAATAAAACTAGCTAGTGTCCCTGCAGTTGTTGATTTTATTTTATTTTACAATAACAGGAGTTTTGTTTTATATTTCTACAAGATTGTTTCTTATTTTCATTTTCCTAGGCATACTACAATTGTTCTTGTATCCAAGCAGGATTAGCAACCTCAGATGATCAAGGTGATTTTATTGATGCTAGACCTGGGGCATGTGATACAAAGTGCTATAAATTGCCTTTGTTCATTGCTTTTATCTTCTCTACAATTTTATTTTCTGTTTTTTCTGGTATACCATGCACCCTGACCATCCTTCGGTATGTATATATTATTCAAAATCATTGTTCATTTAATACATGAGAAAGCCAATTTTAGGAAGATTTTAGAATATTGCTATAAATGATTTATTCTTTTGTTTTGAGATAGCAATTGCAAGACAAGAAATTGCTATATTGTCAAAATTCATATATTTTCTTATTTCTCTGTTTTAACTAATTTTATTTGCTTAAAGTTTCTAACTATCACACTTAGTTTTAATTAAATTTAACTTATAATATGGTAACTTCATATATAGGAAAATTGTTACATTGTCAAAATTCATGTATATGTTTAATTTTTTATTTTATCTAATTTATTTACATAAAGCTTATAGATAACACATTTAGCTTAACTTTAAAACTAAATTTTTAACTTAATTTAATACACCTGGAAAATTCATAATTAGAAAATTCTTAATTATAACACAAATGTGATTATGTTGATTCATTAATTACAGGTATTTATTGAGTATTTGCTTCTATATTAACCAATTTGACTATGAAAAAATCAGTGTCATTAGCAAAGAACATGATAACTTAAAAAATTTTAGAAAATCAGTACACATGTTTTTCTAAATTAAAGCAACATTTGCTATTTATTTGTTCTTTCTGAATATGTGAATACATTTAATATTTCTTTTTATCATATTAGGAAAATAGTCAGTTGTTATTTTCAAGTTTTTTTCAAGAGGTTAACATAATTTAAGTCATGAGGAGCAATTTGTTGTTGCCTAGGAAAGCAGACTAGAAAACATGAATAAATATATGCAAAAAAAATTCTGAGAACTTAGGAATATGTGGTTTCTGCTTTCAATTAACTTGCAATTTGGATGGTAGACAAAAGTTGGACATATTACTACAGTGAAGCAGCTTTTTAATCCATTCATCTGTGTCTGGACTAAAATTACAGGGACCAGTAAGATACATGCCTTGCCTTCAAGTTGCTTAGAGTATAATAGCGGGAGAAAAACACATAGTACAGTGGATACTTAGAGGTGCCTTGATTAAAGCTTGGAGAGTTTGACCCAGGATAAGGTGGAAGAAATGGTCATTTTTATCTAGGATTATTTGGAAATGCTTGTAGAAGGTATGGTACTTGAATTGAATTATGAAGATAAGTGCTTTGTCATAATGCAAACAGATCAGCGTAAAGTTCTTAACAGGAAAACTGAGCAGTGAGTGTAGAGGCAAAAATGTATGAAATATCTTGGCAAGGAGTTTGTTATGACTGGAGTAGCATGATGGTAAATGGGACAGGGAGATTTGTATTCCATAAGGATCTGATCATGGAAGGCTTTCTTTGCCATATTAACATAAATGATGTTATCCTGTATGCACCTGGAGGCCATTGAAAACAATAAACCTCAGAATTAAAAGTGACCAACTATGCATTTTAGATAGAATACTTAGAAGATAGTGTAAAAGATGAAGCTGAGGGGAAAAACTAGAGAAAAAGGAAAGTACTTAGGATATCATTTCTGAATTTAATAGTGGTATTTAGAGATAGAGGTGATGGAATATATTTGAAAAACATTTAGTTTGGATATAAGGGCAAGATTATTACTTTAATGTGCCTCATAAAAGATATAAAAAGAATTAGGATTATGTGCAGATTTCCAGTCCAGGGAGCTAAATGAATGACAATCCATTAACTGAGATAGGAAATTCAAGAAGAGAATGCTTAGATCAAAGATAAGCAGTAAAATGTTAAACATGCCTTATGTAAAGTTCATGTGAAACATCCAAGCAAATATTTCCAGGAGTGAGATGAGACAGATGATAGTAATATTCCAGAAGTTTAGTTCTGAGTCTTTTCACTTCTCCTTTTAACTATACAAAAACAATAAGGAAAATAAATAAAATAAATAAGGAAAATAAAACACACATGCATGTGTGCATATGCATGCACACACATATACTGTAGTTTTAATCTAATTATGAAATAGATAAAAAGTCACAAAGTTGAAATTGCATGTAAGTATTGCCAAAATTGAAGCAGAACTGGAAGCCAGTGTGTAGATTCACAAAGATGTTACAAAGACTGACAGGAAATGTGGAGAGGCTCTCAGGATTGACAGATCTCCTATATCTCCGGCATATTATTTCTGCTCAGAAGGAGAAGGCCCTGCCTTATAATGGAAGTTATGGGGAGCACAACCTAGGTAGATAAGTCAAGGTAGAATCTCTCTGGAAAGAATGAAAGAAAAGGCTTGGAAAATGCCCAGGAGGTCCAGACATAACAGATCTCAAAAAGTGCCAGCAAAATATACCTTCTATAATTGAACACATACCATTAGAAAAAAGAAATGTGAAGAGATCTCAGAAGCCCATGGCTTGCAGTGGAAGTTCTTTTGAGGCAGACCAGAATTGGAGAGGCAGAGGAGGTAGAACCACACATAGGAATTTGAAGCTTGGAAGCCCTGCCTTATGTTCCATTTTCATAACCTCCCTCTAATTTAAGAAAATTCATCTTACTGAATTTTCTCATGAATAAGTGGAAAAGGAAAAGGTTCTGCCTACATACAAAATAACTATAGTAAAAGAAATGAAAGTTATTAAACATTACTACACACAATGAAAACTAAATAGAATATTGTTATGGTGAATCAGATAAAAATATAAATGCAGCTATATGTAAGTTTAAGCTAAAAAAGTTAAACAATTATGGCCACAAAATGAGAAAATAGCTAGATGAAGGAGGCTATGGAATGCAAACTAACAGAACTCAGGAAAGAAGTTAAGGAAACAATTCAGAAATGAAAACTAAATTATAAAGCACACAGGGAAGGAAAGATAACATAGAAACTGGTTGAAAGAGAAGGAGGAAGAAATGGAGAATATAGAATCAAAATAAGAAAAAAGTGTTAGAGAAAAGGGACAAAAATAGAAGATAGGAAAAGAAGATCCAACATACGTATAATTGAAGTTCCCAGAGAAGAAAACCAAAACAATCCAACAATAAATATCTAAATCTCTAGTTAAACTTTCCTGAAATAATGATATTTAATAAACACTGAAATAGTAAGCAATAATAATGAATAATGAATATACTGAAATATAAAAGATTTGCATTTACATACTGAAATGGCACATCAAGTATCTAGGGAAACTGACCCAAAACAGTCAACACTGAGATATATAATAGTAAAATTGTTATATTTAAAGATGAAGAAATAGTCCTTTTGCCATCTAAAAAAAGAGGAAAGCAAAAAAGTTTGGCACTGGATTTCTCAACAGCAACACTCACCTCTAGAAAACTAGAGAGACACTTAAAAGATTGCTGAGGAAAGAAAATATGGGTTAATTATTGTATCATCAACAAACTGCCCTACAATTATAAACAGTTTTGATGTGGCAGAACCCAGGAAATGTTGTTATGAGATACTTCTTAAGAATTGACAGCAAGATGAGTTATAACTAGCCAAGATATAATTGGGAAAACTTTGATAAAATGTCCATTGGTGAGCATTAGCTATGTTAAACTAAACAGATTTAACTACTTATATTTAACTACTATATTTTCTAAATATAATTAATTTATGCTAGAACTAAGACAAATACTAAGCTGAGCAGAAGGGTGACAAAATAGAATACAATGTAATATGTTTTGAAAAGTAGAGATTATATGACAAAAATGAGGGAAGAAAACAGATCAAAAGAAGGACAAGCTTATTGGATGCCTAATAGGTAATAAATAGGGAGTCAAGAGAAATCATCTTTATAGACATTTTACTGAAGCATAATATATATTCAGAAGAGTGCACATATCACTAGTATACAGTTTGATGCATTTTTACAAAGTGAAGACACCAATGTAACCACAATCCAGTTGAAGAAATCAATAATTACAAGTATTCCAAAAATGCTTCCAATAACTCCCTTCTTGTCACCAAGTTCTTCATTCCTTAAAGTTACCACTATCCTGACTTCTATGCTGAACAGGTTAATTTGTTCTGTTTGTACTTTATGTGTATAGGAGATTATGGCACATAGTCATTTGTGTTTGTATTGTGTTAACAATGTGCTTCTAAGAGTCAATATTGTTGCATATAAAAGAAATTCATTTTCATTGCCCTATAGTAATGCTGTCTGATCATATTATCTAAAATAATGAGATGTTTTATATATCTCCTTTCCAAAATAGTAGTCTATCCGCATGCGCATGTTGATATTTGAAATACAGTTAAGTGTGAATGAGGCAGTGGACTTTTTTATTTAGTTTTAATAGACTTAAATTTAAGTAGGCACAAATGGTTAATGGTTACCATATTGTATAGCATAATTTATAGTAGTCCATTGTATGAATATACTAAAATTTGTCCATTTGTTCTATAGTTAATGTTTTCAGTTAAGAGCTGTTAGGGTTGCTGTTTCCATAAACATTTTTGTACTTGTCTTTTGGGAAAGATATGAATATATTTCTATTGAATACATATATAAACAACAGAATTGCTGGGTCATAGGGTTTACATATATTAAGCTTTTTAATTTTAAAAGTTTTTGTACAAATTCATTCTTCTAGCAATCTGTTATTGTTTTTTTAACTTGAGCAATTTTGTTGGGTGTGTGTTAATATTTCACTGTGATTTTAATATCCATATTCAGAGGACTGATATGATTGAATACATTTTCCTGTACTTATTAGCCATATGAACACACAATTTTGTCAAGTATCTGTTTGGTTCTTTTGTCTATTTTTATATTGGTTTGTCTGTTTATTATTGATTTGTAGGATTCCTTTCTATACTGTTTATATACCCCAAGTCAGGAATTACTTGTCATATATATTCATAACAAATATCTTTTCTGACTCAATGGCTTGCCTTCTCAGCTGTGATAATGTCATCTTTTGAGGAAAATAATTTTTTGATTTTAATGTACTGTTTAAGAAGTATTTCCATAAGCAGAATCATGAGGACATTTACTACATTATTTTAATAAAAATTATAAAATCAATAATTCAGCTGGAGATTTTTTTGATATATTGTAGGAATCCAGTT